ACCTTATTAGCTATACTTTATATATTAATTATAAAAATATTTAACTTTTTAATAGTATAAAGCTTAAATATTTATAATATTCTTTTTTTAAGTTATATAGCTTTATATAGCCTTTAGAATTAAATCTTTTATTTCTTTTAGCTCTTATTAAAGGTTAACTAATATAGCTGTTATTTGGCTAATTAGAGCGTAAGGCAGGGGGGGCGGTACAGAGGTCACGTGTCAATAGGTGTACCGGGTCCGGTACAGGTATGGGTTCCCGGGGCGAAGAAATGGTTTACATAATGATCTTTAATTGAAGGTCAAGAAGAAGCTGTTGTGCTGTTACTGTTGCTGATGACAGATGCACTTCAAAAGGAGACAGCGCTGTATGTAATCTATCTATACATACCTTACCTGCTTACCTACCGACTCGTGCTGTATCTTGACTAGTGTCTCGCCGAATCAACCTGGGTCCAATTCCGGAGTATGGAGTGCTGCAACCCAAATCCATGGTTCAGGGAATGCAGTAGATCGACGTTGCGACCCTCGACACAAAGGATCTAATAAGCCGTTATTGCACGAACCCATAGTCTTAACCGTCTTGATATGATTTATCTCAACTCAAAGAGGAAGGAAGAATATCTTTCTATCGTGGTCAGAACGTGGCAGCGCAAATGGTGATTCAGAGGTAATATAACTTGATGAGCATACCAGAAACTCATATGCCAACAGTTTTCTTTTTTTACTTACACCACGAAACAACCTCCAGCCCCGACTGCAATTGAAGGATCACTGAGCACGCCGGCTCACATGTGGCTCTTCTCCTCTTTACCAGGCCATTATCGAAACATTCACCTCCAGTGTTGTGCGAAAACTACAACCGACGCCATCACGCTCAGAGTAGCTGAGATCCATTGGAGTCTCCAACACCAGTGTATAGAGTAGGTACCTAGGTAGGTAGTAGCACGCGGCTCTGCCCGGCTGATGTCCGTGTTCGTGATGCCGCGGATCTTTCGAGTGCTACACAGTAGGAACGAGACCTGATAACTTTCTCAATTGGCAAGTCATAAACATGCGATCAATTCCAGATTCTGGTGACAATGGATCCATATCTAACAAGACGGGACTGACGGGCCCAGACAATCGGAATTGCTAGCCGGAGCTTGGCCTAGCTTCAGAGCACTAGGTACCCAAGCTTTCTTGGCCGTGTTAGCTAGCCCATCAGAATGTCCCATGGACCCCCGTGCGCCGTGCTCCCGCTGTTAGTGGACCACCAATGGAAGACAAGCTTCTGCCCATGTGGCGTCGACCCTTGGCTGTCGGTTGCACAACGACACTCATTTTTCTGGGGACGACTTCTGTCGATGCAGCTCCTCTTCTAACTAAGTTATTGCCAACAACTGGCGGCTTTGCGACAGGCAGCGTGCAGCGTGCCTGTCTGTGTGTGGCTAGCCTTACCTGCCTACTGTCTACCTACAGGTCAGGTCAGGTAGGCACTGTATCCATCCATCTCCATCCTCGCCAGTTTGATGCGGGCCCAAACATATGTGCTAGCAACCTGCGAATGGCCAGGCCCCTCGTTGAGTCAACCATCCGTGGAAATTCACCGCGCGCTCGTCTATCTACTTTTTTTTTTCTCCCTCTCTCCCAGCACGATTTACGATGGATGATGCTGGCCTGCAGCTGGTTTATGGGACGAACACCGGGGAAAAAACAGACACACTTGCTTATTAGCTCTAAAACTTCTAGGAAATCGCCTTGAACTTTGATTTCTCTCCTGTCCTATCTTGGGCTGGTCTGGTCTGGTCTATCTTGTTTTGCCCTGTACATACATACTGTTGTTCCAACATCTTCGGTGCAATAGATATCTGTATGTACGTGAGCTCCAACTTGACCTCATCCAAGGTTGGGACCCTCGGCTCCTAGAGCCCATCAAGCACACCATTCACTGTACACTACGTACGTACGGATACAGATACAGATACATTACTGGAACTCCCAAGGCCTAGTTTCCTGCTGTCGTATCAGAGGGGCAGACGAATGCACCAGCGGCTTCCGGAGCTACCCTTGCCAATCTAGTGCTTGAAGTCTATCCCGACTGAGTGTACATACCTTACTCGGTGCCTCCACGTTGTATCGCTGCCCTATTGTTGAGACTCTGCCTTTGCGCCGGCCCAGGCATTGGCGATATCAGGACCTCGACAGCCAAGAGCCTGCCGAGCCGCCATTCCTCTGTCAACATAGGCTTCCACACAGCAGACCTGACCGTTCGTTGCCCAAGTTTAACCAAGCCAAAGCGTGTCAACGGCTTTAGGGCTGGTCACTGGGATCTTCAGGAAAGCGCAGCGCCAGCAGAGACCACTCGCACCTCCTGCGCCGTTGTGACCGTGTCATGACATGTCCCCACCGCTCGGTCAGTCAGATCGCCCTCGACTGCTACCAGCGACAGCATGTCGTCCTCGGGCTCGTCCTTTACTTCCTCGTCGCTCGGTCGCCCACCAACATACGGACGAACATACGTCAGTCCGGTTGATTCAACCTGGACTCCCACCTCCGGCATATCAACCATTTCTGCTCCGACCACCGAGGGGTCGGGAACTGGCACCTCGGTACTCGATTTGGGACCCCCGGGTTTCCAGGCAACAATGTGCGATTCTCCCGACCCGCTGCGGTTGATATGAATACGAATGACGTTTGCATCTGGCTGACACTGGGATACATCTAGAATCCTTTTTCAAGATACTCCCGACGAACGAGTCGTTTACTTGGGGCCTTGGGAAGTGGTGGGTTCTGAGCAGCGCCGTGTTCTATGGCAGGGCAGCTACCAGAACGAATTGCTCGAACACTTCTGTATGTAGACTTGGCTGCTGCTTTCCACATCCACATCCAGCGTCAGCTAACTCAATTGACTCTCAGTGCCCTCCGATACACCCTCCGACATATATCCTCATACGCTCCACTCGCGTCATCGCCCGTACTATGACCCTTCGGACATGGAAAGATATCTCACGTTTCAGGAACCTCACCGGATTCGATACACAACGGATGAAGGTGTTTGTATACATGACCAGTACGTCACGATCAGATATGAGTTCACGACAGTCGAGAGCTCTATTCAATTTCAGGGAGATTTGCGCAGAAAGGACCTGGTTGATTTCTATGACGTCGACGTAGTCTGGACAAACGTCCATGGCCGCACAGATGGCTTCGGCAAGGTGAAAGGGATCGGTGCGATTCAGAGACTCAAGCTGTGGAGGGATCGATATACGACTTTCCACTCCCTCAGCGTGTGCGCGAATAAGACGGATGGCCAATACCGAGAGTATGATATTCACTCGTTCGACGGGGAACTGCGCGGGCGGGACGACCGCGCAAAACAGCTTCGACTGAATGCGTCTGGCAGGCGGCATACTTCGGGCGATGACCAGCACTCACACCGACGCTTCTCACTGCCGCATCGTATGCGATCTCGAACCAGAACGAATGATTCCTCCGAGCCAAGATCATTGCAGCAGCCGACTCTCGACATACGATATCTGGCCATCCAGTTTACTGAGCGTCAAGGTTAGAATAAAGAAAAAGAGGGCTCCCCTTTCAGGAGCAACGGCTGCCCTGGCCGAATCTCCAAATCTGTCTCCCGACATGTCAGCTAACAGTCAGACCAGCATACCGACGATTCATCGAGACATGGCTTTATTGCCACAGTTCAGACCGTGAATTCAACGGCATCCCATTTCCACCAAACCATTTCGAATTGCCCTCGCCGCAGATTTTGCCGGGACATTCTCCCGATTTACCGGTGTCAGGATGGCCGAACCACATGCTCGAATCGGTGCCCGAACCCTCGGATGCGGCCGAAGCTACGCCTTGAAAAGGTCAAGTCCGAGTCAGGTGCCATATCAGTATCTTCGACCAGTTGCACCACCGAGACGAGCCACATGCTCGTGCTGCAGTGCGTGGTGTCCAAGTGGGGTGACAGTAGACTTGACGTTGACAGCCCACCCACACCCTTTCACCTGTCAGAAATGAAAGCGCTCATCAAACGCCGCCCAAAAGGGCGATAATCAGCAGCCGCCCTCAGGGGATTGGCCAGAACGTCAAGCAGAGGCTATCAGGCTGTATACCTCATGTCGCTATCCGTGGGCAGACGACGGGGAAATGCTCGGGGCGCCCCCACACCGACTCTGAAGACCCCGCGGTGCCTGGATCGTATCGTACCATGGAGCTGTGTCGTCATTGAGATGCACAACCCGTCATGAATGGAAAGTTGATAAACTCAACTCAAGCTCCCCTCTTACCTATGTAGCATCCATCACTCACTACTGCTGCCACTGCTCCCCCGTTCCTGATACACACTCAACACCAAAACATTGACCCCTTCAAAGTCGCGCCATCGGTCATGAAGGTCATTCTCGCCATCAATGCCGGCTCCAGCTCGGTCAAGATCTCTGTCTACACTGCAGATAAGAACGCAGAACCTTACCAAATCGCAGAGGCCTCAATTGGCGGATTGACTGCCCCGCCAGCAACGCTTGCTTATACGCGTCGCGGTGAGAAGGTGGTCAAGGCGAAAGAGGTCGCCGAAAGCGTCAAGAATCAAGAGGACGCTTTCGACCTTCTCCTCAAGACATTCATTGATGACGATCAACTCAAGGAGATCTCTTCAAAGGAGGACATTGCCATCGCCAGCCATCGCATTGTTCATGGCGGAGACTATGATCGGTCGCAAGTCATTACTCAAGATGCCTACCACCACCTTGAAGAACTCAGCGACCTGGCACCACTCCACAATGGTGTCGCCTTGAGCATCGTCGATACTTGCATCAGCGCGCTACCCAAGACCATCAACGTCGCCTGTTTCGACTCGCAGTTCCATACAACTATCCCTCCACACATCTACACCTACCCCATCGACCCAAAGATCGCCAAGAGCAATCGCTTGCGCAAGTACGGATTTCACGGTATCAGTTATGCATTCATCACAAGGGCCGTGGCCCAGTATCTTGAAAAAGACGTCGACAGCTTAAACATGATCGCTTTGCACCTCGGTAGCGGTGCCAGCGCCTGCGCCATCAAGGGCGGCAAGAGTTGGGATACGAGTATGGGGCTAACACCTTTGGCGGGCCTTCCTGGAGCGACTCGAAGCGGCAGTGTTGATCCTAGGTAAGGCGCTCAATCCTTCAAAAACACAACAAAAAAAACACAAAAATACCCTTAGCCCAGGGCCTAAGGCCCAGAACCATGCCCCACCGGATGCAGCGGAATGCTACTCTCATCAGATCATACATGAGATCCGGAACCGAGGGGTGGGATCAGGGTCTTCCTTTCTAAATTAAGGTTCTTGCATGCTGACCCTTGCCAACCTTTACAGTCTCGTCTTCCACTATGCCTCCGATGTGGGGAAACTCTCCCCTGCATCCACCAAACATCTTCACATTTCAAGGGCTGAAGAGATCCTCAATAAGGAGAGCGGCTGGAAGTCCATGACGGGCACCACCAACTTTGGCGTAGTTGCCGAGTCAGACGAGCCCACCCACCGCCTAGCCTTTGAAATCTTTGTCGATCGCATTGCCGGCTTTGTCGGCTCTTACTTCGTGACCCTCGAGGGTCGTGTCGACGCTTTGGTCTTCGCTGGCGGCATTGGAGAGCACAGCGCCAAGCTTCGATCTGCTGTCGTAGAGAGGGTTGCCTGCTTAGGCTTTGCCCTCGATGATGTTAGTAACCAGGAACCTATCAAGGATGTGGTCCAGGAACTCGGCAAACGCGATGCCAGGCAGCGGGTGCTCGTCTGTCAGACAGACGAGCAGTTGGAGATGGCCAGATTATGTGCAGAAAAGGAGGATATATGGTAATAGGGAACCGCACACGGTACCAGAATTATGAAGCATGATGATAATTAGTTGCGTAACGATACCGGATGATTAGATGATCAAAGCATACAAACATATATAAAAGAAATTAGATTTTATTTCTACTTGTCCATGTGTAACGTGGTTGGCTAGTATGTGTGTTTTGGAAATGTCTCAGGCTTGTCAGAACATTCCATGTGACAAAAGCTCAGATGCACATAAAATGAATCGAGTTGCCTGCCAACAATCAGGTCATTGGCTACCAAGAGTATACCATAAATAAGTGCGACGAAGTGGATATCTGTTTGTCTTTTGGCAAAGCAGAGTCTCATGAGTGTTGTTCTACTTCCGAAGGTAGGTAGTCTGAATAGTTAGTACTTAGGCGATAAGCTCACAAGGTATTGCAATGTAAACAGCAATTCAACGTTAATTATACTTGTGATAGAAAGGATTTATGCTACACCATTGTGTAAATAAAGGTATTCTATCTCTTCACATCGACTGACATCACAAAAATGCTAGGAGAAGATGAGTATAAAAATTCAAGATGGTATCAATTGTGTACAGTTCATGTGTTGAATCCAAGATGGAGGCACCAGCGATGGCGCCCATCCAACTCCTGAGGACTACACATAAACCTGCCTCACTGCCGTCTAATTACAGCCGTGAGGGGCAGCGACCAAGTGTGTACTATGCCGCTGTCTCGTCTTCTTCCACCACCCATGCCCCTAGAGATGCCCGATACAGGCTTGAATGGGCCTATCCCAAAAGATCTTATAGTTGAACAAAAGTTGGAAACATCAAATCGTGAAAACCCCGCCAACGCCATGCGTTTTTTGCCCTTGAGTTTGAAACTCCCAGAGGGCGCATCCTGTCGTCGTTTATCTAAACCGTGTGCCCTTTACGGGAGAACCGTCCGTGTAAGCAATCGTATACTCGCGACACCGTCCAATCCCAGACACCTTTTGAATAAATGATAAATAGAAAAGGGAAGAAAATAAACCAAACCCATCCAAGTGGAAAACGCCTTTGAATCCGGGTTGCTCTTCGTGTATTCATACAACGCCGTAATAGAAACAATCCATTTGAAGAGGATAAAAGTGCACCGAGTCTGTGGGGAGACATGAGGGGAATAGGTTGTGCCCCAAGGATCAAGTCGACAGGTGGAGTAATTTGTGTGTAGAGATAGGATTTGCCAGAGGATTAAGATTATCAATAGAGTAATGCCTGAGAAAGAAAAAAATCTGTTTTGGAAGGAAGAGAATGCCAGGGGTGAAAGATCCAGCATTGTCCACATCAGATGCCTGAACCCTCCTGGCATGCTACGGCCATAGCGAGGGCATCCAGACCGCTAGGTGTCCTGCCAGCAACAGGGCGGTTGAAAATGGGCAAGTTGCGGCCGCCTAGATCCCAAGATCCACTGTTGACATTGGGTGAGGCCAGCGGGGGTGTGGGAAGGGGATAGGGATCAGCGTCGCGTCGAATCCTGGACGAGGATGTGCGGCTTGCGGAAGGGCGCCCGGATATAGAGTTACGACGAGCGTCAGCTAGAGATGTCCTGTGGCTGCGCTGGCTGGTAGAAGAGCGAGTCTTATCCTTGAAGTGGGTTTCGAGATGTTGCTTCATGTTGTCGGCGCGAGTGAACTTCTTCTGGCATCCGGCAAAAGTACATTGAACAGCTTTCTCTGCAGTGTGAATCTTTGAATGCCGCGAGGCATGACCTGAGGTGGTGAAGGTCTTTTCGCAGCCATGAGTGTCGCGGTACCTGCAGGGATACCTCTTCCCGGGGCGCTCGGGCATAGGCGAGGATCGGGGCTGGCTGACCATCTCAGCGTCGTATGAAGCTGAACGGGTGCTGTCTGCGTATTGGGCATGCTTCGCCTCCATGTTGTAGTCCTGAGGAATTGTGTACATGACCTGTTGTCGAGGGTAGTAGTCGACGTTGGGAGTCAGAGGAGAAAGAGGATCGTTGCTCATTTGAGAGTCATAAGAGTCAGAACGAAGGAGTTCGGGAGTGTTTGGCGAAGAAGAACTGCTGCCGGGGGTGGGGTATGATTGAGTGAAGGCATAGCTGGAGTGAGAGTGGAAGCTAAGAGGTGGTCGTTGTGTTGGCTGCGGCTGCGGCTGCTGTTGTTGTTGGGAAGCAATTTCGTCGTTGAGAAGTGAAACTCGTCGACCAGCGGCGTTGATTGCGTGCATTGTCATTGCGGCAGTCACTGTGAACTGCTCTTGGTAACGTTGATAGTTGCAGTAAGATCAGTAGGACGCAGTTACTGATCAGATCAGACTGGGGAACTTTGATGCGCCTGGATATGATTGCAGCTCCGAGGGAAGCAAGGCGGATCCAAGTAGCGGGATGGCTAGTCGCGGAGCTTGTCTGGACTCTAGGGGACCGAACGAAGGGATTGACAGCTCAGAATCGCCTCCGCTTTTTAGAACACGAGACTGATGGGTTTCTCGTGGTCTGTTGCGTGCGTGTTCCTGAAAGAAAAAAGACAGGGGTCCGGTAGTGGTAGCGAAGGGAGCAAGGAGCTGATTGATTATGGCGGTGTCAATTCTGCAGTCTTGGTAGTAAGGAAGCAGAGTAGTTGGTCGTTTGTTATCAAGTTCATGTATTGCACAGAAAGCAAGCAAAGATCTGGCACAAGTGGTGATTGTTGTTGTTTGGATAATGGAGGTTGCCGAGGAATCCAGGAGACAAGCCAGAGCCGGAGCCAAGGAGCAACGATAAAACAGACGGAAAGGGTGACTGGATACACAACACAAGAACGGATATAACAAACTAGTATCCGTTGATGATCAGTCCAAGATGGAAGCAACTTTGTGAGACGAGAGAGTATCGTAGTAAGTAGATAAAAGTATGAAGAGTGAAGAATACCAAACAAAGCGAGGCTGGAAATGATGGATGGCTGGAGCTTAAGTTTATAAGTAAGTAACCCGTTGGATTCGCAAGGAGGAAAACAAGGGGAGTGGGAGAGAGTACGTACAGAACGGAGGGAAACAGAGCACACGCCTCTTGGTTTTGGGGGGGTATTACGGGCAGTAAGAGCAAAGAAGGGAAAAGAAGGGATAGAATTGGGGTGGGAATCAAGCATGGGAATTTTTGCGCAACCCCATCGATCGATGAGATCGAGAAAAATGTCGAGTCTGAAATGAGAGTTACGATTAATGGACGTAACTCGGGTAGGTTGGCCTGGATGAGCCACACACACCCTAGAGCATGGGGCCCACCAGCAACAGGCAATGGTGTGTCGTTAACTCCTTTTTTTTTTCTCTCAGTGTTCAACTTTGATGGGGAAGAGAAGAGAGGGGGGAGGGGGTGTGAGGAGCATTGTGGCACTGGCCTCCAAAACGGAACCCTGGGCTGACATGGGAAACTCTCCAAAGAGGCACCTGCCCTGAGAGTCACCAGCAAGCTCCCGCTCCCCCTCACTACAGTATTTGTCCCTATGGTAGGCCAGCCAGGGCTCGCGGCCAGGCTGGTGCAACCGCTGAGACGGGTTTGGCCGGAGCTTACATACTAGAGAAACAGTGGAGGTGGTGGTGATAGTGGTAGCATCCACTAGCCACCTCAGAGTGATGAAAAAATAAATGCACCCGACCTCACCTATGGACCGGATTAAGAATATGGTGGGTTATGCCTTGATTTTCCACAGGGACCTACGCAGCCAACTTGACATTTCGAGGCATGTAAGGACAGGAGGAACTGCATCAGGTATCTACAAGTTCCTCTCTCTGATCGCTTCTTCTCTGTCAAAGCAATAGGTAGGTACTCCATTCTCCTGGTTTCTTCTATTTGCTGCGGCGCGATTTCGCGCTCTTGTTTTTGTCTCTTCCTTGGTAAGTGGGAACACAGGCTGGTGTGGGGTGGCTTGCCAGGGACGAAGGGGCCTTTAATGGCCTCCAGCTGCAACCACCGAGCTCTTGCCAGGGTCGATGAAGGATAACCGCCAAGGAACAGCAAGTGAGAGGCGGCCAAGGGCTTGCTTTTGACCTTCTTTTAGCGCAAGCCATCTCTAGAGTCCTTTTTACTGGGAACACTATCCCCCAAATAGCTCTCGCTCAGAGAAGCAGCTGTATGTACAGTAGTCCTTCACCTCACCTCCAGCTTCCATGTAATGTCGATCATTCGCGACCGTCTTCCTTAGACTAATCACAGCCAACGGATGGATGTCGAATATTGTTGAACTTCACCTTGCTTTGCTTTGCTTTGCTTTGCTTTGCTTTCTACTCAGTCTTTTGCTGCAGCCAGCGACTTCCCTGCTTCCTTGCAGGGCTTTCCACCCTCCTGTCCCATTGCTACCACATAATACGCCCTGTCTTAATTGACACTGGACTCACCGGCGCCCACTCGGTCGGATGCTGCGCCAGGAAACATTTTCTAATCACAACGCACAACCCAATACCTCTAAACTCAAAGATGCTGTTCTTTGATTTTGCACTTGGTCGAAGATCCTTCAGTCGGCCGCATCGAGCTGGCCGCGGCGCGACACGCTCATATTACAATACCTACTTTAGTAGTGTCAACCACGGTAACATTAAGTAGGTATCTGCGCACCGAGTGCGGTCCTGCTGATATGAGTTGACGACTACTGCACCTATCCTACGGAACGGCACTCCGGGACTTGGACCCTGATTTCCAAACTGTAATCTCGATCCCTAGGCTTGGGGCGTCACCATGACGGATAGCCGGATCACACGAGCTAGCGAGAGAGTACCTGGGACCCCGAGACACCGTACATCTTCTAATCGCACCATGGTGACGTCAACTTCGCAACAGTAAGCCATTAGCTACAGGTCCAGACTTTCAGAAAGGGACGCTACTCCGTACAGTAATCGCTGGATCTCTGGCCAACTGAGCGACTCCAGCTCCAGGTACTGGCGACCCTTGGTCATTCATTATCAGAGTTATAGTTGACGGTTACACAAAAGCAAAACGGACCCAAGCACAGTACATATTGTATGACAGACACTTTCCTATACAGCTCATGCAGGGCTTATTCCTGTCACTTTCAGGAAACTGTCCGTACTCTGTAGGTTGGACCCTGCAAATCCCCTGCCAACCCAGGGGCTTGCAAGAAGACCGAGACACAGGCATCGTGTATTGTGAACTTGCACTTGAAAAGCCAGTCAGCTTTAGGTCAACTAAACCATCTACCTGACCTATACAATACAACATACATACATACAGTGTGGTGCTTCATGGAGCGATGGGGCTTCGGTCGACTTTTCCCCGCTATTCACCCATACTCGTCCCTCTTCAACACCAACATGCTTATCAACGACCTTCAGAAGGAGGGGCAACGGGAGGCGAGAAAACTTAAAACCTTTATCCTACTGTACATGACAAAAACAACTGATCGAAAGTACTCCCAAGTTCACATCAAGTTTAGTTGAATATGTGTATCACCTTCCATAGCTTTCTTGCTCCCTAAGGGGCTCATGCGAGGCATTGAGCAAAGAGAGGCGTCATGGTGACAACGTCTGGCTGGTGAGATGAAAGAACAGGCGCCCCTCTAGCAACTGTAAAGAAAATAAAACTGCGGCGCTGACCCACTAATAAGACATCTGCTCCATTTGCTGCCCGCAACCAGCAACGGGCTTTGGGGTGAGACGAGGGCGGGCCAGAGTGGATCATGTCCGGGGCACGTTCCCCAGAGCTAGAGTGGCTAGTAAGGCACAAACACCCCTGGATGCTACGCTGCGCTACCCTCAGGGAGCAAGAGAGCATGAGACTTTAGAAGAGAATGCCAAAATAAACTAGTAAAGACTCATCTAAGCTTGGATTAAATTGCTTAAGTCTTTTTGTCATCTAGGATTGAGGTCTTAAGCTTTCTTACCTACCTACCTAGGTACCCCTGGCTGCGCTGCCTGAGTTGCTTTCAGCACCAGACTTCACTGAGCGTGTCAGGCTCTGGTCAGCTTCGGAAAGCAGGTAGAAAGTGGAGGCGGCGGGGGGCGGACGAGAATCCCCTTGACGCTAACGCTTCCAGGGTCGTCCCCAAGGGTCCCCATTAGGGACCGGGGTTAGAAACTCCATCAACCAATAATCGGAAAAGATCGAGAAAATGGCGATCAAGGGAGCTTTACAATGGTTCTGGGGTGGGGAACGACCCAATGCCAACATTTTCACTGTTTATGACCTGCGCCAGCTGCAACCGCAGCAACTTCTACCTAGAGAGGTTCGGCCAATTAACCCATGACAAGTACCAGAGGGTGCGAAAACTTCAGTACAGTCCTACAGCAATGGAAGCAAACTGAACAGCCAGTTCTTCGTTGCCAAGGTTTTGCAGGTTTATAGTGCTCGAGCGGGATTAAACCGAATATGTAGCTTTGGTTTTAGAAGCCACATGGCAATGAACAGCATCATTCAAAATAAGCTGCGATCCATAATGTTAATGCGTGCCGAGGAGTGAATTCTCTCGTCAAACCTAGGTCGTATTATCTCTTGGCCAATCAACCTTGTGCGGATGCCCTCCGGTAGTCACCGTGAGAACTCTATTGTTGTTTCTCTTCCATCCCACAGCGCCCCATCAACACCTCAGTGCCAGCCAGAGTGACTGACTGACTGCCTGCGATCTGTTTGTTTGGGCGCGGACCTAACCCCGGCCGCCGAAGGGTGCCGCAATGGAGTTGACGAACCCTGCTGAAGACTCGGACTTCCACTCAGCACTCAGCTCAGGTGGTTGTTGTTTCCCCATCTCGGCAAGATGGGGTTTGTTGAAGGAGGAGCCAATGCAGCCGATGACACCCGGCGACACTTCCTGATAACCTGATGAATGAGGAGGTTTCCCATATGATCCGTTGAAGCTGACTGGCTCAGTTCTGACTGATTCGATTGACCCTGGCTTCTGACTCCTTACACCCCCTCTCTCTTGAATCGCCAGATTGACTTCCACTTTGCAGCTGCGTACTGCTGTACCTTAGTACATACCTATGCCAACCAGGGTCTCTTTCTTGACAACAAGGACGAACTTTATGTTCCGTGATCCAACACGAGCAGGGTGTTCCTCCATTTCATCAGCACAACCTCGATCTCAAACCAATCTCTGCAACCTTCCGGTCGTTTTGCTCCGGATTGCCAATCGCGTCCATCGGGCGTGCTTCTTGAACCCTGAAGCCAGCCAGCATTCAGGGTCCCTCCATCATCATCAGTTGAGAGACGGATGTGTTTACGGATACAAGCAGACAATTCATTATTTTACAGCACTTCCATCGCGCCCCATTGACGTCACAACTCCTAGCCGAGCTATCTTGGCCAAATGAATCCACTGTCTCTCGGTCTCTTCAAGGTGGAATAACTCCTGTAGGGATCATCAAAGTCGATGAAAACGATGAAATTGTTGGATCTGATATGTGATCTGGTTGATTGATTGATACGTTTCGCTACAGCGACGTTCGTCTTTCCAGCTGTGGATGGATGACAAGGACACCAAGCCTTGACAGGGCTTTCAGGGATCTGTCTAGGATAATGAGCTATCGCTTGTAAATGACAGGCCCCATTTGTGCATGACATTTCTTCTCTCCAAGTCTGATGACGCAAATGGTCGGACCAGGCCGAGAGGTCTTGGTCTGAGCAATCTACGCCTACCTACGAGCACGATCTTGATGACCTGCTCGCGGAACATTTGCAGCGGGAGTACCTTCATCATCCAAAACGGGCCACGGGACGGAGACAGACCTTGCTTTAGGGTCGAACACTGACTTATCAAAAACCTCCAGGGAGTAGGTAGCTGGGTCAGACTCAGGCTCCGTTAAGCATCCGGCATCCAAGATTTGCCGTCTCATACCGACTGGGGAACAATCTTGATTTCGGACAGCAGGGCCACAGCAGAGTTTCAAAGCCGACCTAATGAAGCGGTCGGAGATCGAAGTGCTTCCAGAATACTGACTAGACTGGCTCGGATGGATATGCACCGGCTGTACTCGATCACAAAAACCATGGAGGCATAAAGGATACGCAGATGACCGCAGGGTTGACTGTGTCAGGCAAGTTCCTTGGTTTACTGGGTGTTAGGGGAGGGGAAGCAACAAGGGTCCTGTCTGTCTGATCAGCGGGGTGAAAACGAATGGCGGCAGCATGAAGCGCATCGGCTTCCACTGAGTGCGATCGAGCATCGTATGGGATCGAGTCAACGATGCTCAGTTGAGATCTGAAGTCAGGAGGGGGATCGGTCCCTTTTGACTTCTTAGGCAGTGCCCTGCGTGGAGTGTGCGTGGTCGGATGCCCTGGCAGGCCAGCCTCATCGGTCCCGTCCGCGTGGCTCTCGAGGGTCCCGCCGCCTCAGCGACCGAGGGGCTTGAGACCAGATATCAAGGGTTTTCAGGGAGTCAAGGAGACAAGGGGAGGGGCGTGAAAACATGGCGCCGGTCCGCCAGAGAAGAGGGCCCGTACTGCACGGTACGGTGAAGTACATACGAGGGGGATCAGTCTAACTTCAGGGACCCCAGCGATCATCCATCTTCTTCTAATTCCCCAAGGACAATGTCTATCTTGCCTGTCTTAGGCAAGGCACGTCTCCCGGGCTCCAGAGAGAGGTCTAGGTGAGCAGTGAAGCACACATGGCGAGCGGGGACCAAGGAGCAGGCATCATCAAATAACAAACACTTTTAGTCTTAGTCCACCTGGTTAGTGTTGCTAAAGATGACCTGGTGGAGGGAAGGTGGTTTAGGGGACCTCGTCTGTGACGCGCCGCTGAGCCATGATGCGATGCCGTACCCTCTTTCGCTTCATCAAGCCCTTCTGCTCGGGACGCCTAGGATCACATTGACCAATGATGTAACCAGGTCGACAACACCCTCGTTCCTTTGGGGTAGATTGTCAGGCACAAGCGGCAACCAGCCGTACGCCAAACCAGTCAGCCGGAGCCAAGCAGGTTGTCCCAGAGGTCTCACCAGCCAGTGGGAGCGAGTCCGGCCACGACGGGGATTTGCTTGGTCGTTGGCGATCCTCGTCGTCTACCAACCTAAAGCAGGCTAATGAGGTAGGGTAAGGTATTGCCGAAATCTCTCGGGGTATCATTTTGTTCTTCAATCTTCTCTGGGTCATGCAAGTGCGTGCCGGGCTATCACCGCCTTTCTTTGTGTATGGCATCAACTTCGATATGTTTCCACCACTTATGTACATGTTAATCTACACAATGTTACATTCTCCTTGATGGGGCCTTTACTGTGTTGTATTATTTTATCTTATTTTATTTTATCTTGTCAACTCGGTGGTGGTGATTCTTTAATCTTATCATCTGTAGGTCGAAGAATTTGTAGCTGCCTTACCTTAGTGCCTACTAACTCGTTCACGATAGTAACTAGAGTTCACTGATCCTTGTATTTTTACCACTTCGTGTTGCTTCGATGGTGGCACGGTGAAATGATGATGGTGTATTTTCTTCTTCTTCACATACTGTTTACAGATACATGAGCTACTCAGAAACCAATGTAATAATATGTCACCACTTCATCATAATATTTTCTCGCACGAAATCTGAAAGTCAACCGTGCTGCACAATGTAGCTGTTTCTGTTCGGTAATTCTATTCTCAGCTAACCTAAACCCACAACATCGCATGCATTTACTCTCCTTTGTTTTACAATACAGACTATCACACACAGATAAACTGGTGCTCTCCAACACCCCCACCTATCTTCTTGATGTGTATGGTGGCATTGCCTTGTCATATTGATAAAGTCTAGGCTGTTGTACATGTCAACATTCTTTGCGTCACCATGCCATACCGTGAATTGTTTGGGAAACAAGCAAAGGGACAATCGATCAACCAGGCCGACATTGAGGGTGCGCCATGCCAACTTTGCGGCATTGTAACAGCTGGAGGAGCAATGGGTCGTCAAGAGAGCACTGAGACAAAATCCTCATATCTCGATACCCTGAAACAGAAGTTTCTGGCGGTGTGTCGGTATCGTATCCTTGTCGAGACAGTAACAACTACAATACTAGCTAGTGCCTATGCACAAACTGTAGGCACATACTGTTACCTTGTAACTGTGGCTGTGTCTGCGACTTGATAGCCAACCTGGAACTTGTTTTTAACCTCAGCCTGAGGAGCAAAAAACGGCCGCGCCATGTCAGCGTACATACATACATGCATACATGTCTACCTACCTTAGGTAGGTACGTCAGGAATATAGGAACATGACCCTAGTGTAACTGCGAATGGAAAGGAATACCTATGCACAGCACAAAGGGCCTCTCGTGATGCGACGTATAATCCTTCCAGTCAGAGAAAGGAAAGGACCAATATGCCACGACCATGTTTCCCGTTTGACAGGTCACGTTGATGGTGAGCTTTGCTGATCACTGTCGATCGATCGAGATTTGTGATTTATATTTTTTCCTTGGTCAGCCCGTTTTTAGACCAAACACCCTGGTGCCCGTGTCAACTACTGGCTTGTATGGAGTACTGTACGGCAAACTTGAATCTACTAACGACTTTGCCTTAGTTTCGAGCTTTATCCAAACCGGTTTCTCAACATTACGGTCTCTTTCTTAATCACATTCCGGATCAAGGACAGCATGTCGTAACCAGTCAGACTCATTCGAAACTACCGGAGATAGAGAGCTAATTACCTACTTTCCCATGCTACTCCGCTCCTGGGACTCGTAGATCCTCTCCTTGAAACGCCGTTTTCGCCAAACACCTGCCCGGAATGAAATGCCCGCCTGTTTCTTACCGTACACTCTTCCTTCGACTTATTCAGTTGGTAGCACCCAGGGCACCGTAGCGATTTCTGCGCGCGGGGTCGCTGTAGGGACCGGTTCCCCGAACCGCAACCTGTTGTAATACATGACCACCATCGGCGATGATCATCAGGATGCAAATGTTCGCTTTCCCATGACAACGCTGAACTTTTCCACGACGATCAAGCCACGCAGTGACACCCAAAGCACCAAGTTGACGCGGCGTAAGAATGATACTCAGGCCATAATTATTTTGATGCTGAGGCACTCGTTTTGGTTGACCCTGTATCGACACGTTTGGCTGCTGGGAGCGCCGGCACCTTGAAAACGCTTCCACCCTCCGACCCCCCGACCTGTGTGAAGCTGCCGCCCTTGAACCAGCGGTCCTCCTCGGCCTTGCGCTTCTTGCTGAGCTCTGCCTGCATCTTGGGGTCAACAAGCTCCAGACCCTGGACGGGAGTGAATGACAAAGACGATGCTGTGCCGGTTGCTGAACCGATGGTACTGCCAACTCCCGAGGCTCGTAAGCCGCGCCCTCGTAGATCAATGTTAGGTGCTTGGCCAAAGCCACCGATAGACGATGCAGCACCACCCACGGTACTGTTTCCGCCCCAGCCCTTGTTTTTGGCACTGAGCTTTGCGCGCGTGCGCTGGTCGATCTGCGTACTGCGAATGCGGCCGTCGTTGGACTGACCAATCATTCCCATACCAACAGTTGACTCGCCAGTGCCATATCCAACCTCCCTCTCCTCCTTGCCAAATGCCATGCGGTTTTGTTGCTTGCGAAGATCAGTCATGGCCAGAGCCTCCTTAGCCTTGCGAGCGCGTCGTCCACCTCGCTTGCGGGATGGCTTGTCGTCTGGCACAGGGAGCGCACGCTGTCCTTTGTTGGGAGGTGGCTCAGTCAGTTTCTCAAGGCGTTCAAGACAAGCTGATTTGAGCTCCTCTCCCGTGGATCCATCAGGACTGGAGTGCGTGCGATCAACCCGGGCCGCCAGAACCAGCTTGGCCGACACGATTCTCAAGGCCTGCTTCTTCAGGTCGGTGGGAATACCTCGGATCATCTCCGAGTTGTAAAGGTAGCCCTGCTGCCGAACACCTATATTCGTAGCAAGCCCCGAGTGCTTCTTCTTGGATCCCCAAGAGGCGATGTTACAAGCAGGCGTCTTAGAGAGACCCGTCAGTCCGCCTGCCGCGTTGAGGAGTTGGGCCGCCGTAAGAGAACCAACAAGGGCTGTCAGGTTTGGCGCAAAGATGTTCATGCGCGACTGCACGTACTCGGCGAGAGTCTGCTTGGCCTTGTTGAGGGCAATAACCATATCGCATGCCTTGTAGACACGCTGAAGCTCTTCGGGTGTCATCTCGTGGCCCTTTGATGTGGTGGCCTCCACCGTCACTATCATGAGTGACGGCCCATCAAGGACAGACTTGAGGGTTATTCCGAGCGGGTTGTCAGTCGAAGTCTGCAGGGCCTTGATACTCTCCGAATCCAATGGACCATTTCCGATGATGGCAACGACTTTGGCATATTCGAGTGGCGTCGTGACAAGTCGCTCGAGCTCGGGAAATCTCGTCGAGTAGTGGTCGCGAATGAACTTATGAACGAGGACAACCTCGCCATCGATCTGGGTTGAAAGGCTGTTGGACTGCGTCAGAAGATGATACTCGGGATGATCTTCGATGTTTCCGACGTTGGTATTCTGCGTCGCGGCTTGCGATCGGTAATGTGCGATTCTCTGTAGCGTCCGAGGCAATACGTCAGGGCTGTCCGTCAAAACAACTGATGTAAACGAATCGTCCATCAAGATGCGACCGTTTGATGCGGCTCGGTTTGAAGGGGGCAGTACTAACCTCGAGAACTGGCTCAAGCGTTTGCATGAGACTGGCAACGCTTCCAACATCCTTTACTCCTCCAAGCTGCATCTTCTCGACCTTTACTTTTGTTGCTTCGGAGTCTTCTCTGTCGTTCAAGCCACCATCTGAATCTTCATCGTCCTTCGTCTCAGCATCGCCATCCAACTCCATGGCGTCACGGTTGCCGGTTGCTTCTTCATCCTTGATGAGGCCATCGTTGAGTTCTTCTTCGGCCTCATCGCCTGAGCTTCCAAAATCGTTGAGGAGGTCGTCTGCGACAGTCGACATAGTGGCGTCGTGTGTAGAAAGGATGCTATGAATGAGCAAAGGTGATTGTCGCGAAATACTTTAGTAGGCAGGTTGTGGAGTACATAGGTAAATTGTCTTGACTGACTACCTTACCTTAGTACCTATAAATACACTTCCAGGCTGCGAGGCTACTGAGCGCCACACAAATAAAGTGGGACTTTCTGTCACATCGAATTGTAATTGGTTCGCTGCCCTCACACTTTTGCGCCTTGCTCCGTCGCGTCGCTGTTGACTTTCAACTTTACCTCACCTTAAGTCTCCTTTTCATCTAAATTTTGGTCACACCAAAAATAATTGCCATCATCAACTTTGAGCCCTCCAAAGCTGGAGATAGTACGATGGAGTCGTCCAGAGGGCCGCCGAGGGTGAAGAACAAGGCCGCCGCGCCTGTTCAAATCAGTGCCGAACAGCTCTTAAGAGAGGCTGTTGACCGTCAAGAAGTTGGAGTGCAGGCCCCCACTCAACGATTTGCTGATTTGGAAGAGCTTCATGAGTTTCAAGGACGGAAGAGAAAAGAGTTCGAGGACTATGTGCGACGAAATCGACTCAACCTCAACAACTGGTTGCGATATGCTCAGTGGGAGTTGGAGCAGAAGGAATTTGCCCGCGCCCGATCCGTCTTTGAGCGCGCACTCGACGCACATCCCAACAATGTCCAGCTATGGATTCGGTACATCGAGTCGGAAATGAAGGCGAGGAACATCAACCATGCACGAAACCTCCTGGATCGTGCCGTCGCTCGCTTGCCGCGCGTTGACAAGCTCTGGTACAAATATGTCTACATGGAGGAGATGCTGGGCAACATTCCTGGAACCCGACAAGTATTTGATCGATGGATGCAATGGCAGCCAGATGAGGCGGCATGGAGTTCGTATATAAAGCTTGAGAAGCGGTACGGCGAATTCGAGCGAGCAAGAGAAATCTTTCGGACCTTTACCATGATTCACCCTGAGCCCCGGAATTGGATCAAATGGGCCAAGTTTGAGGAGGAGTTCGGTACTAGTGACCAAGTGCGGGAAGTCTTTGGGGAGGCTGTGGAGGCGTTGGGAGATGACTTGGTCGATGAGAAATTGTTTATTGCCTATGCTCGTTTCGAAGCCAAGCTAAAAGAGTATGAGCGCGCTCGTGCGATATACAAGTATGCCCTGGACCGACTACCAAGATCGAGGTCAATGATTTTGCACAAGGCATACACAACATTCGAGAAACAATTTGGCGACAAGGACGGAGTGGAAGATGTTGTGCTGTCCAAGAGGAGAGTGTATTACGAGGAGCTTATAAAAGAGAACCCGAAGAACTACGACGCCTGGTTCGACTACGCAAAGCTCGAAGAGACTTCACAGGACTCTGACAAAATTCGAGATATATACGAGAGGGCTGTTGCTCAGGTTCCACCAACAATGGAGAAGCGGCACTGGAGGCGATACATCTATCTCTGGATCTTCTACGCCATCTGGGAAGAGATGGAGGGACAGGATGTTGAAAGGACACGGCAGATTTACAACACGTGCTTGGGGCTGATCCCACACAAGAGGTTCACGTTTGCCAAAATCTGGCTCATGGCGGCGCATTTCGAAATCAGACAGGGTGAACTTACCGCAGCGCGAAAGCTTCTTGGACGCGCAATTGGCATGTGCCCAAAGGATAAGATCTTCAACGGTTACGTTGACCTTGAACGCAAACTATTCGAGTTCGTGCGGTGTCGCACTCTGTATGAGAAGCACATCGAATATAACCCAGCAAATTGTCAGACATGGATCAAGTTTGCTGAGCTTGAGCGCGGTCTGGATGATCTGGACCGTACACGCGCCATCTTTGAGCTTGCTGTCCAGCAACAACAGCTCGACATGCCCGAGCTTCTATGGAAGGCGTATATTGATTTCGAGGAGGAAGAAGGTGAATACGAGCGTACGCGAGATCTTTACGAGCGCCTCCTTGAAAAGACGGACCACGTCAAGGTCTGGATCAGTTACGCGCACTTTGAGATCAACATTCCCGAAGATGAAGAGGAGGAGGATGACGAGGAACAGCCAGTCAGCGAAGAGGCGAAGGAACGAGCGCGCAAGGTATTCAAGCGAGCACACAGGAGTTTGCGAGACCGAGATCTCAAGGAAGAGTGCGTTTCGCTACTCAACGCCTGGTTATCATTCGAGCGCACGCATGGCTCAGTAGAGGACGTGGAAGCTGTACAGAAACAAATGCCACGCAAGACGAAGCGCCGAAGAAAGCTCGACGACGACTCGTGGGAGGAATACATCGACTATGTCTTCCCTGCCGATGACAAGCAGGCTGCCGACGTGTCCAATCTTCTGGCCATGGCGCAGAGCTGGAAACAACAGGCGGGTGGAGGTTTTGGCGCATGAGATTGAGCATTCGGCCACCAAAGCTGGTCTACAGTGCTGTGCCCTATAGAGAGATAGAGAGTAGGTAATGAGTATTTATCACGATATTAACTGGGGCGTCAGTTTTTGTATCCAATCGCGAGAATATGCGCCATCACACAACACAGGACTGCATGGCGTAGGGAGCATAAGCCTCTTGTCCTTGCGCAAAAGCGATTAACTCATCTCTTTCAACTCCGCTTAGCTTAGGCTGTGTACCTTGGAAACCACCTTGTGATCGAACGACCTCAGCTGCTTGGCCGAGCTATCAGTGAAGTGGACACTTAATCAGTGACGTCATGGCTCGATGACGTTGCAGAGCTGAGCCTCAGATCTGTTAGAAACAAGAATCTGCACACTAATTCGGCCAGGGTGCAAGTATCGTGGGGTTTATTGGACTACGTACGGGGCATCAACCTATGAGCGACAGGCACAGAACAGTGATTTGGATGGAAGACTGTAGTGAGATCAAGGGAGAACAAGCCGTTTTTTACTTTTGTCCATACCTACCTAATTGTAGGAAGCCGCTGTCATTCACATCACCCAGTCGCAGCTGAATATCGTTTCATCAACACCCAAAGACGTAACAAGTTTTATTATAAGCCAGAGTCGTTCATTATAGGTCATGATTCGTCAAGGTATTCTGGGGGCCGGTAAATCGACCCCCATGAACCTCATCTGCTATCCAGCATAACAAGCTGCTCATCCAGATATCCAACATGCATGGCAAAAGGAGAAGAAGAAAAACAAACACATCGTGCCATCCCATCCACATACATCTTTTCGTATGCCCATATACCTTTAACTTTCAAGAGACGTCTCGCCATCTTCACTCAGGCCCATTCCTGATTTCTCGTCGCACTTGGTCCAATCGCCGAGTCTTGATCTGCAAGCCCCCCGTCTTTCCAAAAAGCCGTTCTTCCCGAGACCGCCTACCCGTGTTCCCACCACTTCATCATCGTGCATATAGTGATTTGTTATCACCGCATTTGCGTCCCGATCCTTTCTTACCGCCCCTCTTCCCATCTCGTTGGGTCAGCTCGTGCCATTCTCGCTTGCTTCCCCGTTTTGAGTCCCCTACTAGACCCTATCCCATTCATCAACTTTACCAGAATAGAGCAGCTCATCGTGGGACAGATATGCACGTATGTGCCGGTGTGCCGAGATATAGTTTCGGTTTTGCTTCTGTGCCTGCAGGGATCGGGGCATTGGCTTAGTATCGGCGATGGTCTATTTTAATCATCGTCGTTAGTCTTCGTCTTGAATACACATGTGAAACAAACGTGGGAGAGGTTGCGGGGAGAGAGCAAATCTGCTTCATCTATCTGATGCAGAGAAATTTCAGCAAAACGAACGCCAGCCACACCACGCAGCGCAACAGGCCATATTCACACCGTCTCCTTCTCTTTCTAGTCTTCCCAATCCTCTCTCGGGGGTTTTCATTGCCATGTGTCCAAAAGAAAAACACTGTTTGATTGGCTCAAGCTTCTCATGAGCCAAATAAGTCGTCTCGTCATAAGTCATGATTTAAGATGTTTGGAGTGGTATAGGTGAGTAAGCGTGTATGCCGCCCAACACCTGGTCAGGCTCTTAGTAAGGAGATGGCAGACCGTTGGGATTCCTTCTGTAAGTGTCTGTACCATACGGCTCTGCTGGGAAGGTGTTGCCTCTGTAAGGTTTGCCTCCGTAGTCTTGAGGGTCAAAGTATTCATACTCGATATCCGAGTCATACCCATCCCGTCGAGACGAAGGAGCCCAACTGTCTGCTCTCCTCCTACCGTCACCCATTGACTGTTGTCGTAAGCGCTTTTGCACTCGCTTCTCATGACGGCGAGCCTTCTCTTGTTGGAAATTTTTGCACTCGTGTGTCAACTCTTTGGCTTCCTTCATCTCGGAGATGGCTCCTTTGATGCCCATAGCAGCAATACCGACTGATGCGGCGTCTTGCATGATTGCTTTGGTCTTGAGCTTTTTGGCTTCCATCTCACTCAAACGTCCTTCTTTGACTGCTTTGTGCCGTGCGTTTCTCTTTTCCATGCTAGAATATACCTCGTGCGCTGCGTGTATAGTGGCTACTGCCGCTAAACCTGTGGTGATAACTTGCTTACCTCTCATTTTCTTCGCCCGCTTCTCATCCTCATCAGAATCCCCTAGGTCTGATGACGAAGAGGAATGATCGGAACGCCCTCCTCGTCTTCTCTCTCGTGGCTTGCTCTTGTATGATCTATCATCATCGTAATAATCTCGATTGCTGCCATATCGACGGTCATCGTACATGTCGTCCGAGTATCGGCGGGAACGGCTGCCACCGCGGTCGCTGAAGTCATCTTGGTCGCGCCGGTGGTAGTCATCAGCGGCGGCAGCGCCAGCGCCAGCTCCAGCTCCAAGGCCTAGTTTGGCCAAGCCGTTGCGAGCTTTGTCAACAACGCTACGGCTGCGGCTTCGCTGACGGCGCCTGTCTGGGGATGGACTGTACGAGGCACTTCGTCCCCTACGGCTCCTAGATCGTGATCGAGATCGATCAAGAACCTTCTTTGCACCCAGAGCACCCAGGCCAGCGGTCGCGAGAGCGGCAAGACCGCTTGCGCCTCCACTACC